AAATCAGTGCAGTATCACTAGCTCAGATGTGTAACCAGCAATTTAGCCCTGGATACCAGCCAAGCACTGATAGGTTCAACTCGGATAACCATCTGAGTTTATCCTAATTTTTAAACTGAAGATTGTACCTGAGCAAAACCTAATACAAATATTCTGGATTTCCAACATCACAAAAAGCAGCTTTTCTTTCAACGTAGTGTCACCTAATTTAAACAAAAGGCTAAGAAATTTTACCTAACCTTTCTGTTTGCAGCAACTTCCCTCTTTACAGGATCAGTGCCGTTTATTTCTGAGGCTCACAAATTGGTGTTTGTACTGTCTGCTATGTGTAAAGAGATCTTTTCTATTTTAAAATAACTAGAGGTTATTTTAAAAGGACTTCTCATGATGCATTTGCTCATTTTTTTTTTTCTCCTTCCTGTGCCTAGTTTGATGTCTCTTAGTAGTCTGGTTCAGTTCTCTGAAGGCACCAGAAGAATTCATGATACCATGACACACAGCAGGGCAGGGAGAGTTACTAGTTGCAAGAATTATTAGAGAATTCAAGGATTAAATTGTTAAATAACTGACAATAAAGTATAACAGCTCATGTAAAACTGCTTTTGTACCTTAGGACTGAAAGGTGACAAGTGTGATGCAAATTTTAAAAAACCATTCCATGAAAAAGGTAAGCTTTTGGATGACATGTTTTTGTGAGGGAAATTAATAGAAACCTCAATAAGAATAGTATAAGAGGACACCTCATACTGTAAACTGCCTGTAAAGTGTCAACATAATTCCTTTTTAAAGATAAATCCCTCTTTAAAAACCTGTCTGTAGGGGTCAACAAACATGTGAATAAGGATGCTTTAATTGACATATTTTGAGTTACTGAAAGGGTTTTCACAAATCCCCTTGGCAAAGATTTTAAAGAAAAACTAAATTGGCATAAGAGGATCCTGGTGTGCTGAAAAGATACTTGTGAGGTAAGTGAGCTGAGGAAGTTTGCTAACGGTGAAGTTCTCCAAGGTGGTAAGGACAAAGAAAGACCAAAATATTGTGAAAGACCTTAATGAGACTAAGAAGCCAGACAATAAATGGTTGGTGAAGTTCCATCTAAATAAATGTAAAGTGATACACACGCAAGGAAAACTTCACAAAACTTCATGTAGAAAGTAATGTGCTATGAGTTGGCCATTAACACTTGGGAGTGAGATCTGAGGTTTACAATAGTGATTTAATGAAAACATGAGCTCAGAGTTCAGGACTGATCCACTCTGAGTATTATGTATGGTTCATTTTCATGTTTTCAAAATATTTGATTGAATTTGTTAAATTGTGGTAGGGTTAGAAAGGCAACAAGGATGCTCAAAGGAATGGAATGGTTTCCATGCACAGAATGACTGAGCAACACAGATAAAATTGAGTTGCATGGAGCTAAATTTAAACAAAAATAATGTTTATTGACACAGAGGATTGTAGGCGTTGGAACTCAATGTAAAGAGTGCAAACTGGTCTACATCAGTTCAGGGAGTGACTATGCAAGAGAAAGTCACTGGAATTTACCAAATGTGGAGGAAACACCTGGCTGTGGAAAAATATGTGAACCTTGTGAAGATAGTCGGGGGAAATTTGATGTATGTGTGTTCTCTTGGTAGCTACATATGATTATTTTGAGGGATAAAATGATAGGCTAGATGGAGCTTCAGTAGAGTTCAGCAGTTTTTCTGTGCTTTTGGATTGTCTGTTGCTACATTTGCATTTTTTAAATGCTTTGAAAGTCATTGTTGCCAGTCTTGGTAGCTGTAGAGTATTTCTCAGGTTGGCGTGTTCTGAAATCTGGAAATTGAAGTAGTAATAGTAGGTTACTGCTGAAACCTGTCCCGATTCTGTTAATCCTTGCTCACTTCAATAGTTTGGGTGGTTTTAAGGAGACTCATTGCAAGAAGATAGTATCTTCTAACTTCGTTGGAAAGGCGTTTTTAAATTTAACTTTTTATTAAACCAATTGAAATAGAAGACTAAAAGGTTGTTAAACTTAATTACGGCTATTATTCCTCCTGTAGCATAAACAGTGGAATGTAGCTTTTTGTTTGCATTTGTGGTAGCTGTTAGCTTCTGTTATTACTTTGTTTTATAGAACTAGTTTTTAAATACTGGTGCTCCCCACTGGGCAAAGTGTGCTGTGTCATTTCCTAATATATACTTCAACAAATTACTCTCTCCCTCTTTCCTACTCCCTCCCTTTCTCCCTGCAATGAAGAGGATAATTTTGTGTAGCGATCTGAGATCAGTTTACCTTGCAGCATTAATCTTCTAACAGAGAGATACTATTTTATTTTTCCAGTATGCTGTAATCCACCCCAGTTTCTCATATATTTAAAACCTATTAATTGTTAATGTTGCACTTCTTGAGTTCTAATCATGACCAGACTACATGCGGGGCTCTGGTTTGGGAAGGATCATTAACTGTTCCCCCGTAGTACTTTCTGGAGGCAGTGCAAGCTGTATTATTTGTGTAGATTTTGTCCTTGTGCTGCTACATCTGTTTGAAACTGGGACTTTGTACATAGTCTGCATTGTATGGTTTTGAAGTGCATTGCCTAACGCTAGCACTGTGGACTGTTATCTGGAACGCACAGAGGAATCATTGATCACTGCTTCTTTTTCCCTTTATATTTTTTGAACGGGACTACAGACGCTAGTGGGTATTTTTGCTATTTCTTTTCACCGATCTCAGACACTTCAAATGATTGAGGTACTTTTCAGCATTACTCTTTTGTTCTAGGTTACCTGCTCTAACAATTAGTAGTTAAGTTGAAAAGCAAAACATATCTTCCATTTAAGAAAAAAACCCAAACAACAAAACCTATTCCCTAATAATATAGCAACCTTTTAATATATATTATAAATGTAATAGTAGATATTGACTGGCATATCTATTATAAAATGGGTGCTCAAAAGGCTTATAATCTGCATGTATAATTGTGATATATTATGCAGGGTGATGCAATAAATGGTACAAGTCAAAAACAGATATTTTTTTTGTTATATTTTAGGCTTTTAAACTTTGGTCTGTCACTATATTCTAGAAACAGAAGAATTAGGAAATAAGGATATTTATTTTGGGGTTTTTTTAGACTATCACATTCTTTGTAACAACACTATCTCATTTAATAATGCAGTAGTTCATTCTAGATGAGGTGTTTTAACTTTTGTAATTGTCTTAATATAGTACCCCTATGGCAATGAAATACAGTATTTAACGGCAAAAGCTGATAAAAATTGTGTCATCTCTCCAGAAAATTCGTTAGCAATGATATTTACAAAACCATGCATTTGGTTTAAAAGGAATGTAGCAAGAAACCTATGTAGCCATAGTCCAAAAAAAATTAAGTGTTTAATGTTAGGGAATAGATTATCGGGGAATGTCTTCTTAGGCTTACACAGTGTAATATGTTTTTCTTAAATTTGTTTATTTGTGTGTGTGCATATATTTGAAAAAAATCCTTATTAGTGCTGGCTTCTCTGGAAGCTTAAATGTGTGTAAGAGAAAATTACAGTCTTTATCTCAGGATTAGAAAATCCGGAAGCAGCTAATTTACTGTTACAATTTTTTTAACTAATAAATCAGTAACTTCAACTTTTCTCTCTTGGTTTTGTGAGTCAGCTTAGTTATCAAATATGTGATGTGTAGCACCCAAGATTAAACAGCCAGGTTTGGTTTCTTCAAATAGTACTGTAAAGGAAGAAAAAACATCACTGTGACTGCAAAGCAAGTTTCAGAAAAATATCTTTGTAACAAATTGAACTGTTTTCCCCTGAGCTGTTTTAAAAACCAAGTTGGGAAATGAGCACTTATCTTTTCTTGTAGATTGCCATTTTTTGCCCTCTGCTCTTTGGAATCTATTTCTCATCTTAAATAAGGATGGAGGATCAAATGTGAACAGTTGCTTATAGGATAATTTGGATTGAAAGGGACCTTAGAGGTCATCTGGTCCAACCTCCTGCTCAAAACAGATCAGCTGTGAGATCAGACCAGATATTCCGTTTTATTTGTATTAGAAAAATATGTTTTAATCTTTTTGAGTCAGGAAATTAATTTTAATCTGTATCCATGCCACATCAAGAAAAATTACATATTATGCTTAATGGAGACATTGATGCATTAGCAGTTACAAACTGTTTCCGTAACATCCAGTGCCATTCCCCAGCTCCTGCAGTGTGTACAACAGAGCTGTCTGTGATCTTGAGGAAATTCTAAACTGGTGGTCAACAAGAGTCCTAGTATTTAGCAAAGATGTAATCAGGATTAATATATTCAGTCCTTCGCTTATCTCACATTTTTCACAGTGTTAAAATGTTTTCTGTAGCGTGGTAACTTCAGTACCCTTTCCTGGTGCAAACGCTCCCTGCGTGCTCCTCCGAACTTCAGCCTTCCCATGGGCTCCGTCACTTATCAGTTCTGCATGGAAATGTTTAGGGATTGTGACCTTTTTTCCCAGCAAGAGGTGTTTCTAACAGTGCCTGCAAAGGACCTTCTCTCACAAAAAGGTCTCCAGGAGAGAATATTTTGCAAATAATACTAATATCTATCACTGAACAGAAAACAAGTAGAGATACATGACAGTGTTTTGTTAGGGGGCAAACATGGTTTCTCATCAAGTGTCTGTTGGATCAGCAGGTGATAAGGGAGGGCTTTCAGGGGGCTCTTTGCAATTCAGATGCAATAGTGGGGCCCTGCGGCATGGAGGATGTGCAGGGCTGGGGGAGGAACTATTTCATAGCCTGGGGATGGCAGCAACAATGGAGCTGCCTTTTCTTGATAAGATTTGGCATGCTACCAATTCCCTAACCTATGTTAAATCCAATTATTAGGAGGGCTGAAATTTTGTTTCCTCCTGTTTATATCAAAAAAATGAAAGAAAAAAAGCTTCCAACAGAAAGTGTTATTTTTAATTTTTTGTCTGTACTGTATATTACCCTGAAAATTTGTAAATTAATTATCTTTTATTCTCCAGATGGATCCTGTGCAAAAAGCAGTCATAAACCATACATTTGGAGTGTCCATTCCCCCAAAGAAGAAACAAGTCATTTCCTGTAATGTCTGCCAGCTTCGCTTTAACTCCGATGTGAGTATTGGCTATTTTCATTCCTCTTTTTTTTTTTTTTTTTTCCTGGTACATTAGGTTTAATTAATCTAAACCCCTTTTTCCCAAACAAATTATTCCAGTTCTGCCTGCATTCTGCTCAGCCTGCTGGGCTGATATTTTGTCCACTCAGAGGTAGAAGTCCATAGAGGTATATTGCTCTTTGATTTTCTTGAGGGGGTCTGGCATGATATTCAATAGCATGTCCATTGATGATATCCCATTTGGCAGTCCAGTAACCTTCAAGAAATACTGCAAAAAGAAATTTTTGTTCGTTTGGTTGGTTGGTTGGTTGGTTTGGTTTTGGTTTATTTGTTTTTTTCAAAAAAAAGGAAGGGGAGCAGACAGAAAAGCTTCCTTGCAAGTTCTCCATGTCATACCAGCTCTTCTAGAAGAAATAAGTTTTTGCTTTTATTCCTACATCCTTGCTGATAATGTGTCATCTGATTTCTTAATAAAGTCACTCTTCCAGTAACTTTCATTTATAATAAATAAAACATTTACTTCTAGATGTCTTTCTGAGTATGATAAAGTTCAAGGAAGCTGTTTTCTGAGGTGTAATTAAAAATAATGCATTACAAAAGAGTACATTGACTGATATGTTTAAAATGTATATCCCATTAATGTTGTTTCTGAGTAGCTTGAAAATTAAAGAAATTCAAGAAAGTTATGTCTATGAAAATTATGACCTTTGGCACTTTAAAAATATGTATTTGTTCTTGGACACTACTTACTTATGTCATTAAGCTAATTAAAAAAACCCCTAAAATTCTCAGATTTTTTGTTGATTTCGAGTGTAAGAACAAATCCTTAAAGGATGTGTTAATATTATATATTTTGTTGTTATAATTTTGATCTAAGAAATAGTTTGCAGGCACCTCCTCACAGCCTTCATGTACTTGATGCTCCTAGAGATTCACAGTAGAGCACCCATACCTATTACTCTGATTTTCTCTGCCTTTACGATTCCACTTTGAAAAGTGTCCTGTAAAGTTGTTTCCCCAATTTGGGTTTAGGCTGGTGTGGATTTTGAAGCAGTGCTATCTTACCTTCAAATTGATTTCTAAATCTGTCACCTTTTGATAAGCTTATTAAACTTTCTTTGAAGTGGCAATATCTACTCAGTTAACAGACTTCAAAAGTTGTTGTTTAAAATTTAGTTCACTTGTCTTTCCTCTTTAAGGTTAAGATTTAAGGTAAAAAAAAAAAAATCTTTCTGCTCTGATACGTGGTCCAGATATCTACTTTTACTGATTAAAACAAGGAACCAATAAAGTTTTTAAAAATTTCCCTGGGTTTCATGAATCTGAATCCTGCTTCTGAGCTGGACCTTACTGTGTCACCAGGGAGGGAGCTCACTCTGTTTCTGCTCTTCCCTCTCTTCCAGAGGTCAGGGTTGCTCTGATGATGAGTCCTGTCCCTAGAGGAGTCAGTCACTTTGTCTGCACTGACATTCAGGTGGACAAACAGCACTTCAGCCAGATGGATTGAATCGCACTTAGTGGCTCGAAACAAAACAAGAGCTGAAATATTATGTCATTTTGTAAATCTGCCAACCAAGCTATTTTCCTATCTAGAGTTAGAAAGTAGAACAAGAAGCGCGTATCATATTCTGCTTTCAATAGTGGCATCACAAAAGCATGGCGGATTATAGCCTTCTTTCATCTTCTGGGACAGGTGTATTCATATGATGTCGGGCTTCTTTCTTTCTAAATGTGACCAATATGTTCAGTTCTAGTTGCTAGAAAATATCATCCTCCTTTTGTAATGAATGATTGTAAGAAAAGATGAAGCATCATGACTGTGCCACTGTTAGTGATAAAATGCAGTTTCTTACTTTCTACAGCAGTTTGCTTTACCATAGCATTCACAAACAACCTGGAAGTTTTAGCTTAGAATGCGCTGAGATTCTAGTAGTGTTATTAATACTAGAAAATACTTTAATATAAATTCAAGTTTCACAAATAGTTCATAACCACAGCATACAGGAATATTTGGAGAATGAGTTTTTGTAGTACAGCACTTCTATTTTAAAAGCTACCTAGCCTTTCATCAGATTATTCAGCTTCTCCTGGGAAGCTCACATAAGATTTTAAATCTTTTCTCCAGGTTCAGTCTTTTGACCTTAAGAGTTATTTATCTGAGCATGTGTTGCCTTTTTTTTTCCTGAGAGATTGAAATTGTATTTTATTCAGATATTATTCTTACCACTGCCTGCTCCCATAATCTGCGTTGTAATTTCAGTGAGGTAATGCTAATGGCCTTTCAACTAAGCTCTGCAGACTCTTAAAGTTCTTTCTTAGCTTGTTAAAAGCTCCTTCACAAAAAAAAAAAAAAAAAATCTGGACTCTCTGCTTGTATTTTTCTTTTGGTCCCTTTATAATGTGGAATTATGCTTAGAGGGTGGAATGGTCTTTAGAATTCATCCTGTGTTTGTGGACTGGGGAAAAGGGAGTCAGATTTTTGTGAACCTTGTAACTGTTGAATTTTTCTGTGAATCGGTTCCACTGTGTAACATCCTAGGAATGTATTGAGAGCCTTTCAGGTGGCATCAAACTGTCATAACCTGCATTAAGATCTTGAGCATAGCACATTGCAGAATGAGATTTGTAGTAGAGCCACTTCACACTTGCAGTTTCTTCTAGCTCTACAAGGCTGACATGCTTCTTGTTGTTGATGGGTGTTTTGTTCCTCTGAACTTCCTTTGGCCTAAATTTTGCAAGCAAATGAAATAAAGATGACAGAAGTAAGCTATGAAGTAGTTTTCTTTCTTTTGTTCTCCTAAATGAATTTCAGTTGCATCATGTTTGAACATTCTGACCTGATTCTAATAGTGCTTTATGTATTGTATGAGTAACGTACGGACCAGTGGATGTTCATCTGTGAGAACAAAAAAACTGGTTTCCTCGCTTGCAGTCTTTTCCTCACACTGTGTATGCCCACTGGTCTGGATCAATAGACCAAGAAATTCAGACTAGTCAATTTATGGTCATCAAACCTCCCACTAAATTAATACAGTAAATTGCAAAGGTTTCAGTTTTCTGCTGCTAGCACGTCTGCAGGTTTAGCTTTGGTGAGAGTGTTCTGGCATCAGATTCAGAGGCAGGGATCTGCAGCTATCTGCAGGAAGAGAAAGTCTGATGCCAGGGATGGAAGGAAATTTTAAAATAGGTTTTCTCCAATGTGGGAGTAAACATACTTAATGTTGAAGTTATGCCTTCGGTATTTTGAAAAATAAAAATTGCTAGGATGATGCTATTTTTCTTCTACCATATTATAATTTGAAGAGAGTGTTTACTAACTGAATTCTTCAGGATCTCCCAGTCTCCTGTACTTTTAAAACAATTTTTGAAAGTACAACATTAAGAAAACATCTGTGTACAAACTCTAAATTTGGCCTGTTTATCCTCTTCCAAAAATGATGAGGTTTGACTCATACTCATAGGCATTCACCATCGTACTCTATCCGTCCTTTTCTAGAATTCAATAGCTGCAGTTTGGTCAATTTGGAAGTTGTGTTTTTCTGCTAATAAATTGTGGCACAAACAATTTGAGCACTCCAGGAGAAACTGTAGTGCAGAAGAGGTGATCCAAAATCTTGAGAAACAGAAAAATAAAAGGTCAGCTCTGTGAAATAATACCAAACTAAAGTTGTTTCAATAGCCTGAACTTTGAGGTCCTTGAATGGGAATTTTATCTGTAATAGTAGTGTTGACTTGACAACCATGATAACTGCGGTTGCTTCAACAATATTTTTCACATGATCGAGTTAAGATGCTTTAGCTGGTACTTAGAGTGGGATTGTGTGCCTAAACCTAAGTGTCTTGTCGTTTGAGTATCCAAGGTATTTAGGACGTCCACGCCAGGCTGGTAGACCTGACAGAGCACCTGCAGTTGGAGGTCAGGCTGCAGACCTGAGGACATCCCAAATTATACTGGATGACCTGTTTCTAGAGCTGAATCCCCACTCATTAGGTTTGCCTTCTATTTTCTTTTTCTTTTCTTCTTTTTTTCTCTTTTTGGAATGGGAGGAGGGAAGCAAGATTTAGTGAGGGGGAAAAAAAACATTAAAAGAAATAGGAGAAAGTTAATTGACCTCAAGATTATGATACTAGAAAATTAATAGAGTTCTTAACAATTCAAAGGAAGTGAAATGGCAAAAAAGTGGGGGAATAGAGAAAAGGCCTTTTTCCTAAACTATTTTTTAACAATGGTAGATACCAGGAGTCAACTGCTGTTGAATTAAGTTGCAAATCTCAATTTAGGAAGCATAGCATTGTGAGGATTGGTAGTTGATAAGATTGATAAGTCAGAATAGTCAATGAGATCCTTATTCCAACCTACTTAAACTTGATTCTGTTATGCAGAGGAACATACTTTTTTTTGGAAAACTGTCTTAAAAAAATAAAGCAACACCATCCATTAATATTTACAGCTGGATTTGCTCCAGTATATTAGACTGAACACAGGTGTTTCCATCTTTGCATCAAAATATCTGTTAACACCATTTTATCTTTCGATTTCTACGTGATGATGAAACAGTATGTGTTCCAGTGCAGCAATGACTAGTGTGTCAGTGAAGTTCAAGCTACAGTCCTGTGTTATAATCTGGCTCAGAAAAAATGAGAAATATCTCAGTTACGTTTACTACCACGAGAGACCATGCACCAGAAGAGGAAGAATCCTCTTCGTGGAACAGATTGTGATAGTGAGTCAGATTTAACACTTGCTTAAAGGCCACCAGAGCAAGGGACGTGACTGTGTTTCACCAAGAGGAAGCAAGACATGCTGTGGAAGATCTAGCTTAGCCTTTGAAAAAATACTTTTTTTTTTCCTTTTAAGAATTCTGGGATTTAGCTTTGCTAAATAAGTTTTCATATTAATTACATAGGTCTGGCTTGTTGATATTAAGTATTTATATTACAGACATTCTAGCAGAAACAAAAAGCAGCTTGACTGAGTTTGCTGAATCCTTACAGTAC